GCTGTTTCATTACTGTAAGGTTTTCTGTGTGAGTTAGAAGAGTCTTGAGTACACTTGGGATGTGAGTTGTTCGACCTTCAGCTTAGGAGTGTGTCTTAATTAAAGGCATTTTCCCCCTGATGCATGCGATGTCACGTACTCTGATGGGCTGATGCTATTTAAAATAACGGGTCAGTGTTTGGTTGGGGGAGAGAAGTTGCTTCTAACTATTTTTACTTTCAGGAAGAGGAGGAAGAACCGGAAGGAAAACCAAGTGATGCAGAAAGTTCTGAGAGTTCAGATGATGAAAAAGACTGGGTCGAAGAGGTCAGGAAACAGCGCAGACTTCTCCAGCAGGAGGAAAGAGCGAAGCGGCAGGAACGGCTCAGGGAGGATCAGCAGACGGTCCTCAAGCCCCAGTTTTATGAGATCAAAGCGGGCGAAGAATTCAGAAGCTTCAAAGATTCTGCCACGAAGCAGAAGCTGGCCAAGTGAGTAACCGGCTCTCGCCTTGTCAGAGCCTGGCTTTTCCTCTGTGGCACGTGGCCCAGACGGTGACGGTTTGGTCTTTGGAGCTGATGTGAGGGAAGCGCCACAAGGCCTGAGGGGAAACACTGGTCTTTACTATGATTATTTTTAGCAGCTTTTTGAAATACAGTTTTTGTGCAGTAGGTTACAAAGTCTAGTAAATGTGTGTTAGCATGCTTTCCCTGCAGAAGCCACACTGTTTTGTTGTCCTTGTTTTATTCCCATCAGGTTCCCTAACCTACAGACGTGTGTCTTATTCTGGGCCCTGCAGGTCAGTGGTCTTTCGGACAGTGATTACTGAGGTGACACTTACTTTGCCTCTTAACAAGTTATTTTTAAAAGAATTAGAATTTCAGTTATGTTTATCTGCATCTCGGTTTACCTGATTATTGGAAAGGTCTCTTGAGAAACTTGCCACAGTTTTAAGCCTTTTGCAGGAGACTGAGAGATCAGAACGAGTGGTATTCTACAACAGTCAGATGCACAGAGACGCGGATCGATAGGAGTGGAATTGCAGCCGTGTGGCAGCGCTACGCTTAACCTCTTGAGAGACTCCAAACCGCGGCTGCTCCGGTCACACCTCCACCGGTCACGTCTCCACCAGTCTCATCCTCAGCAGTAGTGCGCACAGCCTCGTTTTTATGCAGCTCATGTTCCTAGATGTTTTATTTGGAGTCCTACTCAGAAGCGGAGGGCAGAGCGCTTATTCTGGTTCTGTGGAGGGAATGTCTTTGTTAGGTTTCCTGCCGTTCTTGCCTCGCTTCATTTGCTTCATCCCTAGCCCCTGAATCAGTGCGTAGACCAGGGTGGGTACTTGATCAATCCCTGTGAAAGCGAGAATCTTCTCTGGCTTGGCTACATGTCAGGCAACTCAGGAAGTTTCCCTTTCAAGATCTGCTGAAAAAGAACTCATTTACCCCCAAACCATTGACCAGGAAAATCCGGGAGCAGTTGTTTTCGGTGTAACCGTGGCAGTGGGAGGCCAGGATTTGGGGGTGGGAGGCATGACTGATGTCCCTGACATTCTTTTTCTGCCTGTGGGTAAAAAACAAAAGGGATGAAAATTTAGTATTAGTGAATAAATAATAGCAAGGTTAAACTTAAACATTCTTAGTAAGAATGCACTTAAACATTCTTAGTAAGTTAAACATCACTAAGTTAAACATTTTTTTTGAGAAGAGGAGCTGTATAAGTGATAATACTTACATGAGCTTAAAAGAAAAATCCTGTTGTTTAATAACCTTTGACATGAATAGCCGGCGTTTTGGCACAAACTGCTTAGTGAATTTAGGTTTGACTAGATTATTTTGGCAAATCCTGAACTTGCAATATCTTAAATCTATTTAATGAAGCATTGAACCATGATCCTTCATAAAACTAAAATGACTCTTTCTGTTTGTTCCGGGAATTACCACAAAGCAATGAATTCGACACATCAAAATTGAGTATATCATGTTTAGACGATCTCTTGGACTTGGCCAGCTTTAAAACTCTTTCTATAAAGAGAAAAGCAAATAGTGAATTGTAACTCATATTTGAGTGAGTTCTCGTCTTTGCATGGCTCTAGATAAATGCCTATGTCTGTCAGCAAACTTATAGACCTCACAGTAACTCATCCTGTCAGCCTCTCCACCCACCCGATCATCAGTCAGACATTCTCGGAGGGCCTCGTGGGAGCAAAGCGCTGTTTGCTCACCCAGCGGGGCTGGAAAAGGAAGGCGCAGCCCACGCGCGCATAGCATTCACATCCCTCTGATACTCTGAGAGGTGTGAAAAGTGCTCAAGGGATACAATTTTTGGAGATTAAGTCTTTATAAGAGGTTATGTTGAAATGGGTCTTTTGAAAGATGAAAAGATGAACACTAAAAGCCGGGTGGGAGAGACGGCTTGTTTCTAGGCAGAGGCAGCGTTATGAGCGACGGGCTGCTGTGTGAAAGCAGCTTTCCTGCGGCGAGAGCAGGAAGCACGTGGCGGGCAGCAGCCGTCGACGAGGCTGGAAAGCCGCGTCGGGCCCAACCCAGGCCCCGGGGAGCCAAAGTTGAGGTGATCGAATCTGTCCTGGCCCCTCTTCCAGTTACGTAACTACTTATCTAACAAATGCGGTACGGTTCGTTGAAAATAAAAACACGTAGGCATGAAAAGTCCCTATTTCTCAGAAACCGTTAATGAGAGATATGTGTTTTAGAGACGAAATGCAGGGGGAGACTAAGAAGCTGTGGTGGTCCTGGTTGGAAGTGACGAAAGCCAGCGCCGTGGGGACGGGAACAGATAGATGTAGACCCAGATCGTTCATGCGGCTGAGACTCGGAAAAAGAGCTTTCACTGCCGCATTCTGTGGCTCACGCTTTCATTGTCGAAGGGGAAAGTAGCAGTCATGGGTGGTGTTGAAATGTCTCGCAATGTCGCTGCCAAGATAAGGCTCACGGAATGAGGAACGAGTTGGAGGCTGACAGTATTGAGCTGGGTGTTTAGCATACTAGGTCTCCGGTGCCCAGATGTCTTCTGGGTAATGTTTGGTACACAGATGGAGACGTAGGAGGTTGGCCAGAGATACCGGTTTAAGAGATAGCAGCGTCTATTATGTGATCAAAACCATGGTATTAAAAAGACCGTAAGTGTGTAGAATGAGACAAGGGCTGGGAATGGAGCTCTTGGGAGCATATTTTTGAGTCTGCGATAAGAACTACTTGCCTCTCTTTAGAATAATGCAAGTGCATGCAAAGTAATGCACGTAATTTCAGAGATGCCGCAGGTGTACTGGTAGAGCTCCGAATTCTGATTCAGAGGACGGCAAAGAGGACGTGCGGTAAAAATTACCAGGACTTGTCGAAAAGATAGGAGGAAAACTGGAAAGAGCCAAGTATGGAGAGAAAGTCACAGGGAGGGGCTTGGTACAAGTGTTGGGGGGTCCACGGAACAAAGGTTGGAAAAAGGCCATTAGGAAGAATATCTTAGTGCGACTCATTTCTGAGTCAGCCTGAATGTCTGGTTGTAGTGGATTGTTTATCTTGTGACAGTGAGATTTTTCTCTAAAATTCTTTACTATCAATTACAAAGTAGCCAGAAGCCAGCACACCTGAGCCTGGGTGGGAACGAAGCAGGAACTGGGGGTCAGGGTGGGGGGCGCAGAGGGCAGGCAGGGGCTGCGGGCCCTCCGCCACAGCTGACCGGCCCTGGACCCCGTGCCAGGAAGGCCGTGCCGTGTGGGTTCTGTAAAGTAGTTACAGTAGTTCGTTTTCGGGTGTCAGTCAGCCGCTTAATACCGCTCCCCAAATTCGCACTCAAGCAGCCGGCTTCGCAGCCGCTGGTTAGCAGCCACATTCTGTGAACTGACTTTCAAAGGGAGGGAAGTGGAGCTCGCTTTAATGTAGGCACCTCCACACTCGGTCCCTGCGTCTGATCTTCTGCCACGGCCCAGTCTGAAACCCAGCTTGTCTCTCCACGTAGCTGAGACAGAACAAGTTTTTACAAGTGCACGTCGAAAGCACATTGAGAGAAAACCAGAATTTATATCCCCTCTCCTGGAGGAAATAGGTCATTCTTAAAAGAGTAGTAATTTCCCACAATTTACTTGAAAAGTCTTTTTCTTCCCAAATTAGTGTTTTCTGTGTCCGACCTTGTCTCAGTGGCTCCATAGTTATTCAGAATTCCTGTTAATTTTAAAACGTCAGAGTTTATAGCTCCATAAGGAACAGAAAAGGAATGAACAGGCTGAGGAATTTGCTTAGGCTAACATAATTCATACTCAGTGCTACAGTCAGTTTACACTTTACTTTTGAACTCTTCTTTAAAAAAAAAGAAGCTAAACTAAATCTTAATTTCATTTGGTCATGTGGAAGCTTGTCATTTAGAATACCTAATGGACACATTTCCTGAACAGAACTTTATAAATCAAGTGTGGTGTGACACATGCCTGGAAACCAGAAATTCTTAAATTGGAATCCTGGTTTTAAACTTGAATCCTTACGTGCCCTGGGGCGATTCATTTAATATCTTACCTCCCTTTTTGCCATCTGTAAAGGATAAATACTTCTGTCTCAGGGATGTTGAAAGGATTAATTAGTTAGTCCGTAAAGAACTTTGAAGATGAAAAGTACTTTAAAAGTGCTTCTTAATAACATTATTGCTTAGAAAAGAGTGCCACTTTATGCTAACCACTGTATGTCTCAAATTATATAAAGAAGCTATGTTTAGTACGTTATAGCCGTCATAAATTAGAGCTGGATCTCATGGTGTGAACATCAAACGTGAGCTCCAGACTCTCAAAAGAGCAGCAGCTCATCCTCGGGTGCAGAGGTCGCGTCTAGGGGGCAGAAGGCCCCTCCACGCAAATCCTCCCCTCCCCCGCTTCTTTGTATTCAGCCAAGTTTTTGAGTATAACTTTAAAGGCGTTCACGAGCTTTAAATTGGTACAAGGAAGGTTGGAGGGGGAAATATATTTTCTTTATTTTGAAAGAACAGAAGAGAGAACCGTATTTTATTTTTCTTTTTTCTCTCCTCTCTTCCCAATTTCATCCCGGGGACATAAGGGTGTTGCCTTTTCCAGGTGGATTAGAGCTGACATTAAAACTTATCAAAAAGTATCTATCTTTTTAGTCTTAATTCCATTTTTTCCCCTCTACACCAAGTTAACAAAAAGAGCCAGTGTTGTGATTTTACAGTAAAACATTATCATAACGACACACAGTGAAGTGTTATGTTTTATAACTGGTACAGGACTCAGGCTTACCCTGCTGGCTTGTAGAGAGGTGTTGGGATGGCCTCATTATGTAGATCACAGTGGGCTGCAGGGCACAGCTCACCATAACAGGGACACGGATTATCGAAGGGGACCCTAGAGAAGTTTGGGAAACATGACCCAGAAATGAAATGAAATTTAAATTTGGGGTAAAGTGTGTCAGAAAGAGCGTTCAGGTAAGAAGTTGAACGGGAAGCCTCGTGCAGAACCGCAGTGACTAGGGCTGAATTAGGAGCTCGCCCTCTGGAACCGCCATTGTCCTCACGGGGTCATCGGGTGGGTTCACAGTCAGAGTTAGTCGTGCTGTGGGTGATGAGTGTGGTCCGGGGAGCTAAGCCTGAGTGAAAGAGAAGTCCAAGTTCTCTTGGCGCTTGTCTGTGGAGCACTTAACGTGCGTTCACTCCTTTGCAGAGGTGAATGAGTTGCTGAAATACTCACGCACCCAACTTGTGCGTGGTGTAGATGGAAAATGCTGTAGAGGCATAAGAGCCACTGACCATTACAGTAAATTACAGGCTTCTCACAGAAATACTGCTGCTTGCATTTGGCACCAGAAATATGATTTAGTAAGGTAAGTAGCAACCACCAAAGTATTTGGAACCACCACTTAAAATATTAAATGAGTGGGTATTTCTGACAGCCGTTGTTTTGACTGTGTACCTGTTGAGTCTACGTAACGGTTGCCTGAGCCCTCCCGATTCTTTCCATCGACTGTTAAACGAATGCCTTCTTGTCACCACATGCGGAAAAGATTTTTCTTCATGCAGTCAGTCCTCATTTGAACTCGTTTCAAACGGTAATCAAAACATAATGCTAATTAATGTGATATTCTCTTAAATTTCTTACAGTAAAACCCTGGAAGATCGGTTGAAACTTGAAGCAAAAAATGGCACGTTGAGTGTGTCAGATACCACGGTTGGCAGCAAACAGTTGACATTCACATTAAAGAGGGTAAGTTGTTTTTTAATATTATTTTAAAATTCACTGAAAATGAAAAATACTGTTACCAAGTAGGAAAGAACGTCAGAGACTACGTCCGATTCTTTCTTTAAATTGAGATCTAGTTCACAGACCATCAGATTCACCCTTTGAAAGTATACAGGTCACTGAGTCGTGGAATCACCGCCACCGTCTAGTTCTAGAATATCCTCAGCACCCCAAAGGAAACCCGTGACTGTTAGCAGTTATCCCACAGTCCCGGTTCCCCGGCCCTGGGCGCCGGCGGTCTGCTTTCTGTCTCTGGATCTGCCTGTTCTGGACGGATGTGCCGTATAAACGGAGTCATGCGGTGCTTCCTCTGTGACTGGCTTCCCTCACTTACCGTGTTTTCAAGGTCGTTCACGCTATTGCATTATGTCAGTACTTCATTCCTTTTTATGACCGAGTGACATTTCATGGTGTGGATAAGACCACACTTTATTTATTCATCCATCTGTTGATGGACGTCTGGGCTGCTGGTTTCCAAGAACATGGTTATTTCCATTTATTCAAACTTATTTTATGTCCATGAATAAATTGTGTGGGTATTTCCATTAGGTTTGGCACATTTGTTGTTAAGGTTATTACTAGATATTTCATGTTTTTTTTTTTTTTTTTTTGCTATTATGAATAATCTGCTATGAAAATTCAGGTATTATGTTCTTTGCATGGACATAGTTTACATAGACATATGTTTTCATTTCTCTTGGGTGTACATCTAGGAGTAGAATTGCTGAATCACCTGATAACTTTAACTTTTTGAGGACCTGCCGAGCTGTTTTCCAAAGCAACTGTGCCATTTTACATTCTCGCCAGCAGTATACGAAGGATCTGTTTTTCCACATCTTCACCAACACTCGTTATTGTCCATCTTTTTTATTGTAGGCATCCAAGTGGGTGTGAAATGGCATCTCATTGTGGCTTTGATTTGCATTTGCTGATGACTAATGGGGTAGAGCATCTTTTTATGTGCTTATTGGCCATTTGTCTACTTTCTTTGGAGAAATGTCTGTTTGGATCCTCTGCCCGTTCACCTCTGATTCTTTGACCGATCTCTCTGACGTCATCGGGGGGCTTGCCAAATGATAAGAACTTTTTTTTAGTTAGCAGTCGTCATCTGATATAGATACAATAAAAAGGAAAAAAAGGAAGCTTTTCCTTGTGATGAGCACTCTTGGCATTTACCCTCTTAACAGTCTTCGTACCACCCTGACAGCGTGTCACGTAGCCGTCGTGTCGTTCATTACGTCCCTAGTGCTTATTTCTCTGCTAATTGGAAGTTTCTACTTGGCCACTTTTCTCCAGTCTCCCCCCTTCACACACACCCCACGAGAACTTGTAAGAGGCTCTTCCGTGAACGCCGTCTCCATTTAGGGCAAGCACAGGTCACGGCCGGGCTGGCTTCATGGGTACCTGTAAGGCCGTCGTTTCCAGCTTTTAAAACTTCTGCCCGTGAGTCTTTTCGCAGCTTCCTCTCTGCAGCGCCACCAGCGAAGAGTATTTTTTTGAGCTTTACATTCAGAGTTTATATTATCAAGACCATCAGATGTGTGTTTAAAACTGCCCAGCTCTCACCTCCATCACCGACTCTGTGTGGATGCTCTTCTCTTTTAAGAATTTCTGCTAAAAGTTGCGAAACTGTTTGGGAGGGTCTGGCTCTCCCCTGAGCAAATGAGTGTTGAGAACAACAGCTTTTAAGGAGTCAGCCCGGGGACCTGCCAGTCACTCCAGCTGTGAGCTTGCGACTTGTCTGCCAGCCTTTATTGGTGTTTAATGGGTGCAGATCTCTGGCTTTTGAGGGGAGTTTCATTTTTTGAAACAGCCAAAAATTCTTTGGAACCAGTTCTGGCGACTGATCGCTTGATCGTGGGTGGGTTGTGATATCCTTTCAGTACACGTAGGTATTTTTTGTTTCGTTTTTAAGACAGTTCAAATAAACTAATGGTTCTGGCGTATAAACAAAAGATGGGTCTATGAGAGAAGTCGATGACATTTCGTGAGCAATAGCGTCTTATGAAGCCGGCAGTTTTATAAGGAACCCCTCCCTTTTTAAAGCACCCCGGCTGGATCACGTGTTGGTTGAGAAGCCAGTCTCATGCTTAGCAGCTCAGACTGGCCGATCAGGGCACTTCTCTTACCCCGGGGCTTAGGTTGTCTTGTTTTCACAGTGGCGTTGAAAACGGCCCTTGTCTTGCTGCTCCTGCCAAGGCAGCGGTTGTCAGAGCAGTCCAGGCACCTGCCCCGGGGCCTGTGGGCCGCAGTCCCCCTGCAGCAGGGCCGTGCTCGGCGGCCGCGCCACTGGCATCCTGCTCTGTTGGTTACCAAACGAGGGTCGGTAGAGTTTTCTTTATCTTTCCCTCGCATGTGATTTTCTCTTTCAGTCCGAACAGCAGAAGAAGCAACAGGAGGCGGAGAAGCGGCACCGGCAGGAAAGGAAAGCCCTCCGTCGCTCAGCCAGTCACCTGAGGTCCAGACACAGGAGAGGACGGTCGTTTCACTGAGTCTGGGAGCGCCCCGATGCACGACAGGAAGCAGCAGGCCTCCCCCAGACCGACCACCATGAGAGCACGTGGGACACAGACGGGACCACACATGTTAAAAGTCCCGTGACAGTGCTTGATATAGCGAAGGAAAAGATCTGGCACCTCGTCCCTTTGCCTTCTGGGTCAGACTTCGAAACCCGCCCCCCCCCCCCCAACACGCTGGGCAGAGCGTCATCCCAAGGGCACTTTCTGCAAGTTGTTGCTCCCCAAAACATCATCCTCTTCCCTCGGTTTTAAATAAGTAAACCAGGTGGTGGTTTTTCTATATCGTGAAATGTGTACCATGAGATGCTAAAAATGAAGATTGATCATGGTCTGGGAACTTTCTCCTTATAGTACCTGCTGCCGTTCACAGTTCAGCCACCCAGAAACTCCGTTCCTGCCCTACCCGTGGGTAGTCTTGGCCGTGTTCGTGTTTGTAAGTGTATGTTGGTAGGTCATTGCTTGTTTGTGTGTTTGATATTTTTTAAAAAAATATTTTTATACCAAGAATGTATAAATTAATGGTAATAACCTAAAATAAGAAATGGAAACTATACGTGACACAAGGTTAAATACAGATACTTTCCTGTTCCTGAAGTGCAGTTAGAGATAAACTGGCTGGAGAAAACATTTATAAAAATAAATATTTTCATTTGAACAACTTCTTTGAGAAGGACATATTCCTTGAGTGAAGTTGAAAACTAAGCTGGGTTCCTTCGTTTCTCAGGTATTCATGTGATCTCGGAGGTGCTTTGCTTTTCGTGCAGCTGGGTTGGTGGCTCTGGGTTGTCAGCGGGAGGCTCCAACCTGAAACGCTTCAGCACAGGGCGAGCGCGTTCAGGAGCGTGTGCACGTGTGTGTGTTTGCGTGTGCGCACGTGCGTGCATGTGTGTGTACACAGAGTCACCAGAAAGACTCCCGTGCCGCAGCATGCGTGTGTGTGTGTGTCCGTGTTTCTTTGCGTGTGCACAGAGTCACCAGAAAGACTCCTGTGGCCCAGCAGCTGGCCACCTTGTGCTGCGGCACCAGAGGGTTTGCCACCCGTTTCGGTCCCAGGTGCCAGCTCTTTCCTTCTTCAGCGTCTTGTCCTTTAAACTCCTGCTGAGGCCCCTCTGCCCAAGGAAGAGGCTCCAGCTCTCCCGTGGCCCCTTCCCGGCCCCCTCGTCGCCTTCGTCAGGGCTGAGAGGTCGGAGGGACGCTGCTGGCTGGGGCTCCTCTCCAGGGGTTGAGTGTTTGTGTTCCAGACCTGTTTCCTGGGGCCACTGGAAGCCACTTCCGCACATGGCCCCTCTCTTTTTTTCTTTGGGGAGATCTCCCTGTGGCTTGGGGAGCCATTTGCCGTGGTTAGACCCCAAAAGCAGTGCCACAGGCCAGCAGAGGGAGGGCATCTGCTCCGTGAGACGGGCTCTTCGAGACGGTGTCAGCAGCACCGGGTCCAGGAGCAGGTACCAGTCCATCTGGGCCCCGGGACGCGGGCAGCAGAGCCGGCCTGGCTCGGGGTCGAATCCCAGCCCTGTTGCCTGCCGGTTCTGAGTGCTGTGGCTGCTTAACCCCTTTGACTCCGTAACATGAGCCCGATAGTGTGGGCAGTGGTTAAATGGGTGCCGACATCAGGCAAGCATCTAGCACAGAGCGAGGCCCGTGAGTGCTGGACAGAGCTGCTTTCCCCCCGCCCCTTCCCTCAGCTCTGCACGCACAGCCCTCCGCTCACCGTGTTCTGTAATAGCGAGGTTACTGGAGCGGAGATGCCCCTCGGCTTTCCTCCTGGGGCGTTCCTGAGAGGGCAGGCCATGGGCCTGTGCTCAATCTGTGGCCGACATTCGTAAGAAAGCTGCGTCCAGGCCCCGCCGTTCACCATGGATCCCTTGAAACAGCCCCGTCCCTTCAAGATTGAGATCTTTGGAGCAGCTGCTACAATCCTCACGTTTCTTTCAAGTCTCCTGTTTTAAAGATGTTACCCACGCCGTACTCCGTCATCTGTCTGTGTCTGCGGTCGGTCACTTCGTAGCCCTAGGCTGTGGCCCTGTTTCCCCACCAGGAAGCATGCGGGGTGTCCTGCACCCAGGAAAGGCGCAGCCCCAAATGGGGGCTTTTTACTTCAGGACCTTCCTGGGGGTTCCTGAGTGACACCTGTCCCCACACCCTGCTCCAGACACCCCTCGTTCTCTCACCTGGTGCCTAAAAATTTTTTTCGAACTATTAAGAAAAAATTGTTTTTAGCATTTGGGGCAGTGGTCACGTCCAGAGACCGGTCGCTTTACTACATGAAGACGTTTCACAGAGTCACTCTGTTCACTTAGGAAACCACCCGAGTCCCAGCTTCCCGGACACGGTGGGATCTGGCCCCCGCCCTCCCCTTCACTCCCGGTCACCGCCACACTGACTTCACTTTTCTAGAACACTCCAGCATTCTCTTCGGCCAGGGCCTTTGCGGTTGCCGTTCCTCGGCCGTGGGCATGTCAGCGTGTCGTTCTCACCCCCTCCAGGTCGTGACCGCCCTATCAAAGACTGTCACACCCCAGCTGCCAGCACCCCCTGTGCCCTTACTGCAGCTGAAACCCGACATAATGTGCTTCAACAAACTTTTTATTATGAAAAGTCCCAAACATATACCAAAGTAGAGGACAGTTTAATGAGCTCCCGTGTACTCCTTGCCCAGCTTCAAAAATTAACAACAAAATCTCATGTTGTTTCATCTTTACTCCTAACCGTTGGTCCTATTATTTTGAAACATTTTGATCTCAGACATGTCCATAAATATTCATAGTGCTTTACGTCTGTTATATTGCTTTGTCTCCCCACCCCACACCAGAATATAAGCTCCATAAGGGTAGGGAGGTATTTTTGGAGGGTAAAGGGTCTGTTTTGTTCACTGCTGTGTATCCAGCATCTAGTATTATGCCTAGCACAGTAGCAACAAATATTTATTAACTGAATAAGATGAGGACTGAAGGTTGAACTTTGGGTCGAAGATCAGAGAGAGGTTCTTATTTGACAAGAGCTGATTCAGAGGGGACGGGGAGCTGAAAGGCCGCATTGCAGTAGTCAGGAGAGAATAGGGAAAAGACTTGGAACCAGCGATTGTAGACAACACTTGGGAGGAGTTTCTGAATACAGGGGGACACGAAATGGGACGTGAGATCAAGAGACTTTTTTTTTAATGGGAGAAATCTCAGCATGTCTGCACGCTGCTGGGAATAATTCAGGAGAGGAGAGACTGCCAGAGAGAGGACAGTTACTGGAGTGATACCTATTAGGTGTAGGACATCATAAGGCATAGTGGTTATCCATTGCTGCGTAACAAATTACCCCAAAACTTAAAATAACCGTTTCAGTGGGTCAGGAATCCAGGTGGAAGATTAGGTGCCATTTTTTGAGAAGGGAGTATCAAGTAGAGTGGCCGGACTAAATACAGGACTCCCAGTTAAATTTGAATTTCAGGTGAACAATTCATTAGTATAGTGAGACTCTTGCTGGAGCTTCCATGAGAATTTTTTTTTTTGACTGAATGCATATGATGAGTATTTTCCCTTTTTTCCAAAGTTATATCTTCAGCATAAGTTAAGTATAAAATAGATTTTATAGAAGAAGAGATTTAGTGGTTTTATAAGGAAGGTTAAAAGATTTTGTGATTCTTAGGTAAATTTTCAATGCATTAAAAATCTGGATTTTTTTTTTATTTGATTGATTTTGGTTTTGAAACGACTTTCAAACCTCACTTTCCCCGTATAGCCATGAAGCTGAAACAAAATCTTGGAGTTTACGCTGTCATTATTTTTAAGCAAATATAGGTAACGGCAGTTACGTGACTTCATTTGACTCTGTTAATCTTCAGTCTCACATGTTTCACATCCAAGAGAAAGTTCGTCTCTCTCTTGCGTTTGAAAATACTAAAAGGAATGTAGTTTAGTTCAAACAAATTCCAAAGTTAATGAATGTGTTGGGTCTCAGAGTCACTGAATTCTACGTAAAACTTTGAAAGAGGACAGCAAAGTACTAGAAAATGTGATTTTTATAGTATTTGTATTAGTAAATACTATAAGTAGATACTCGATTATTTCTTTGACATCTCTAATAAGTTTATATATCCAAGTTGGTGTAGATTACATTTTTCTCCTTGGGAAAATATGGAATTGCCTAATATTTTGAGTTTCCTGATATTTAGACATACATAGTAGCTTGATTTAGGCTGTTACACATCTTATTAAACATGTAG